GGTTCTCACATGTGCAAAATCCAGTGAGAGGAAGCAACAATCCAGAAGATGTGACATCAGCAGCACAGACACTTAAATAATAGCTTCTCATCACCCTACAGGTGCAAGCTCCCCAGAGAAATAATAGTAAAACTTGCCACCTGGCAAGCAGTGGGCTGACTGAAAGAAAGTGGAGTTCATTCTCACTTCATGGGTTCTCTTTCCCTTTGATGTTTAGCCTTCCAAAGGAAAAGGGGAGGGGTTTCCATACCATTCTTGCTCCGTTATCTTCTCAGAGCAGAATGTGGATTCACAATACATGTTTGAAATAATTTCCTGTGTCTAGGCCAGATTCAGAACAGGCAAAGTAAAGCTCTCTAATCAAATGATGGGCATGGCTTGAAGTCCTGCAAGGCAGGGATTTCAACTCGCCAGACATCAGAAGGCTGGAACCTGGCACAGGTGTGGGAAATTTTACTCTGCTCTGTCCTCCATTGCATGATTCCAGCAAGCTTTGATTATTTATATATGCAGAGGTATCTATGCTCTCAACTCAGAGAAGGAAGGTTGTGTTGTCTATGTAACCCCTGTTTTGCTGGGATTAAAAGCCTGCACGGAAACAGCATTGCCTCCTGTACATTTTTCCTCTGTCTCGTATGCATTTTGCCAAAGTTGGCTTCTTGCAGCCCTCCATGAAAGCTCGGTGCAGCAGATGCATACAGGATAGATTTCAGTAGCTGCTTAAAAAGCGTATAGCTCCGTGAACATTGCTAAAGCTTCTGTTGTCTCTAACAAGTCCCTTGCTGTGTCTGGGTAGGAATATTTCAGTCACAGGACAGAGATTATGATGAGATTTAAGATGTGGTAAGGGAGCCTGCACAGAAAGAAGGCTCCGACCACAGCTGTAATCAGCTTTCTGGTCTTCATTTTCTTACAGCATTTCAGAGTCCGAATCCTTCTCACCACAGAGGAGTAACAGATGGACAGAATGGCAAACGGGATCACAAGGGTAAACAAGGTCTCCCAAGTGTTATGAGCTGCTCGGCACTGCCCATCAGAGTGACCGACTTCATCTGTGCACGCTCCTTCCTCCCACTGGTGTGATGTAAACAGCAAAGGCAGATATGAAAAAGCGTCTGCCAGCAATCAAATTGCCAGCCAGGTACCATGTATTATATATGCAGCCTCCACCATCTTCAGAAGATGAATGCAAAGAGCACAAGTACAAACTCTTGGAGACTCATCAGGGTGGTCAAAAAGATGCTGGCATTCCCTGCTACAAGCCAGGAATAGCCTGCACATGATGTCTCATGATGTAATCCCAGCTGCCCACAAAATAGTAAATCCAGAATGGCACCGTGAGAGTGTGACCATGAAGTCAGCCCATGCCAAGTTCAGGATGAGCACAACCATGAACAAGAGCTGAGGGAGCTTGGGATGTTTCCAAATATGTCAAATGGATGTTGGAAATGTAAACATAAATTGGGTACTTTCTATCATATGTGGTGGACTTGCGATAATACGAAAAAGTATTGGATTAAAATACATAAATGGCTTGAGGAAATGTTACAAAAATCCTTAGCTTTTAAACCTGAAGTCTTCTTATTAGGCATTATACCTGTTGATATTAGTAAACAAGAAATGTACTTGATTTTACATGTAATTACTGCGGCGAGGATTGCATTTGCTCAAGCCATTTATGTATTTTAATCCAATACTTTTTCGTATTATCGCAAGTCCACCACATATGATAGAAAGTACCCAATTTATG